CCGAGTCCCGCGCCGCGCCGCGCCGCACCGCGCCCGGGTCGCCGCTCCGTGTTGCGGAGCGGCGAGCCGGGCGAGGGCAGGGCCGTGCGCGCGGGGCGGGGCGGCTGCGGGCCGGTCGAGCGGCGGCCGGAGGTGTGCACCTCCCCAAAGTTTGCGGAGCGCGGGCGGCGGGCGCGCGCTCGGGCCGCCGCCAATCTGGGCGGCCGCAGGTGGCGAGGCGCCGGCCCGCGGGGCGCGGCGCGGAGGGAGCCCAGGTGCGCGGCCCGTGGGCGGCGCTGTGCGCTCGGGGCAAGCCGGCCGGCCGCGAGCGCGAAAGCCGGGTCGGAGCCCGCGGGGGGTGGGGAGGGTGGCGGAGAAATGGGGAACAATGCGAGTGAGCAACTTCAGGAAGTCATTGTGAAAGAAAGCTGGGAAGAGCTCGGCGGCCAAGTTAGCAGGGCATTCTAACAAGTGCATGCGCCGCCCGCGCCCGGGGCGGCGACTGCGGCGACAGTCCCTGGGTCCCCGCGGAGAGCCGCCGAGCCCGGGCGGGACCTTGGAGGTGGCGAGGCGGTCGGCCCCGGGCGAGCCCGGCAGGGCAGAGGGAGCCCCGGCCCCGAGGTTGCTCTTCGCGCCCGAGGATCAGTCTTGGCCCCCAAAGTGCGACGCACAAATCCACGTGAGTGTTTTCAAATTGAATTTCAATAGGAAAACTCCGAGTAGCTGGTGGTTTAAAAAGAGAGAGAGAGAGAAGGAAAGAATCAGAGGACCAGACAAGGCAGTAAGATTGTAACCCCTGGTTTCGCTCAGGTCCGCCTCCCCTTTCTGGGGACGGAGAGAGCCCTGACTTTTGTCAGAGCCTCCGCCAACTTGGGCTGTGACCACAGGCACAGGGCCAGGCCGGCAGTGGGACGCTTGTGAGCCGCCCCGCTGTTACCATGAGGAGGACGTTCTAGCTCCAGTTATATTTAAACTGATACATGCCTCTAGATCACGGAAGTCAGGCTTTACAAAGTCATTCGTAAAGAGCCTTCTTTTATTTCTGAGGTGAGAGCATTTTGCTTCTACTGTAAAATAATTAGATCGTGTCTGAACTCGCTTTCTGCAAAATGAAGAATTATCCCGGTTTGAAAAGTTAGTAGGACTTCTGCTGGCTGCGATTTTGGCTCTCAGGTTTCGAAACTCCCTGGTAATAAGGCGTCGGGTTACTTGCGACTCGATTTGCAATGTATTTAAAAAAAAATCATCAAGGATCCCGGGTGATTCCTAAGGAATGGGGGCGGGGGAGAGAAGGTGAGATTGTTTTTTCTTTTAATTTGGAGGGACAGAATATGGCATGTAGAGACCGAGAGACTGGACAAGCACAGCTTTCAAATGCAGTCCTCCCCCCCTCTCCCCCCTCCCTCCCGGCTCTGGGCTGCACCGGCGGCCGGAGCGAATTCAAGGCAAGCTTGCCCAACTGCTCCTTTCCCATCCTGCTCCGGCCCATGCATCTCAGCTCCCAGGTATCTTGTTTTAAACTTGGAGACACAAACTGCTGTTGAAGGAATACCTGCTTGGTAGCAAAATCAACTTCTGTTAAGGGGACAAAATGTATGGAGGTTGAAAATATTTAATCTGGACAATAGTTAAACTTTCATAGAAATTGAAAGGGTTGCAAGGATTGGTTCACTTGGTTCTGAGTTGAGAGGAGACAGAAAACTGCAGGAAATGGTGGGAGCCTCGTGAATTTGTTTCTTTGTTTGAAGGTGTTTGATGAGGCTCATTGGACCCATCTTTTATATGGAATTTTAAAAGTACCAATTTAAGTATTTTTTCAGATTCAATGTCAGAATTGTTTCAGTGGCAAATCAGGTTATTTGGTATGTGGCAAAAAAAAATTAAGCGGTGCCAAATATCTGTGACGGGAAGATTACCTGCTTCCATCATAGAATATGCAGAACATGTTAAAAAAATAACTTGTATGCACAGATGTAAATAGTGATGTCACATTTTAAAACCCTGTACACTTCTGGTTTGATAGAATATATCCGATTTCAAAACTTTCCAGGAACATACGCGTTTATACCTTTTTTTATGCGGCAAAAAAAAAAAAAAAATGTGCTTCCCGGTCTTGGAGTCCACCAGAGCTGATGCCAGAATAGATTATTGAGTTAAATGGTCGTGCTTTCCTCCCCTTTTGTTTCATGGTGATAGTCGAAGGCAGGAGCTCTAGAAACTCCAGCATGCTTACTTGTTTGTGTAATTCACCAGGGCTTTAATTGAAGGGCTGCATCTTGCAACATTACACATCCTCCGAATTCAGAAGCATGGTAACAAGAGCAGCCCATCAGCTCAGTCTCAAAGGGTGAGCTTGTGGGTCTGTAAGAAAAAGTGTGCTTGTGTACCCTTTGTCTCCTGAGAACTGATACACGGTGACTGTCCTTGGCGCCATTTCCTTTGTTGAAAAATTACAATCCTAGTGAATTTCCTGGCCAAGAGGTCTGAAGCCCCACGGTGCTGGAGGCCACTGAGTCTTCTCACTTGGCTAGAGACTTAAGAGTTTGAGGATGGATGATGGTTCTTTTGGGGGGATATTTCCCCCTTGATTTGAATTGGTGTGTTTCGTGTTTGGGTCATATGGTAGCTTATTGTCAACTTAAATGTCAAACTTTGCAAATGTGAAGCAACGCTGTCTTCTGCGGGCCCTGCGACAAAACACCCCCGCCCCCACACGTACAGGTGTTCTGTGTTTATTTCAAGATTATGTGTGCATGGATAGATATAGAAAATAAAGAAATTCAATGAGTGCACACACACACACACACACACACACACAGCATGCACACGGCACAGAGAGAGAGGCATGGGGGCAGGGTGAGAAAGAGTCTTCATACCGCACAGACCTGACCTGAGTAATAAAACCCCTCCTTTTAGGTTCTGTGTGTTTGGTTGGTTTTTACCTTTCACTAAAGCAGGATGGATTTTCCTATTTATACTGTTGAGTGTAGACGTAAATGATGTGATACTTTGGGTGTCTGCCTAACACTATTAACCCAGAATCTGTCAAGGATAGCACCATTTCGTGGCATTTGTGTGTTTTTCCCCCTCCTCTAATCTTTGCAATTATGAAATAATTTCACTATGAAATAACTACTGGTTTTCGTTGCCTTATTCTGATGGAGATTCGTTCAGGGGATCACACTCACAGAGAACAGACCAAGTCCCCTTAAGGTTCTCTGGCAACCCTTGTGATTTGTCAGCCTGACAAGCTTTTTCGGGGATTGTGACTCCTTTTTCTGGCCACAAGATGCTGTACGTCTCACCCTGGTCGTGAAGGTTTCTCCCTGCCCCAGGTCTGTACGCTGGTGTTTTTTGGAGCCCTCAGGCATGTGTGTGTAATCATGCCATTTCTCAGGTGAAAACAAGAGATGTAAAAGTGACAAGTGACCCATCCTCGCAGGCTTATAAAAGGAGAACCATTGATCTTGTTTACACCTTGAGACGGATCATTGTTTTGCTCACACTGGGCACAGGTGCATGTGTGATCTAGATGTTGGGGAGGTTGCATTGCAGAATAGTCGTGTGAAACACACACACACACACACACAAAGTTCAGGTGGGGAGGGAAATAGAAATGGGGCTGGTACACACCCCAGACCAGACTCAGCAGCAGCGACATGACTGGTCTTTCCCGTGGGGACTTCTGGACACTCCCACCGGTTTCATCTTGGAGACCCCCAAGGTGTTACTGTGTTCTTGGCAGTTCCAGAAACGCCTTCACGCCCGGTCTCTCTCTGCAGCTCCTGTGATACACGCCCCTGTCTTTGCATCTTCTGCGCTGTTCCCATAAGGGCTTTTGTTTGACATTGTTTTTAAACATGTGATGCTCTTCTGACAAATATCTCTCGGACGTGACAAAACGTGCAGCGTAAAACCCAGCCAGACAAAGGGCGCTGTGCATGCGTTCCTGAGCGGGGAGGAGGCAAGGCCTCCCCTGCTTCCCTGTGTGTGTGTGTGTGTGTGTGTGTGTGTGTGTGTGTGTGTGTCGCTGGGGGTCACTCCTGAGAAGGGCCCGTGGGGCACCAGCTGAGATCTCCCCTACAGGCCGACGGCCTCCTGGCTTCCGTTGGCTTTGTGTCCTGTGATCAACAGGCGGGACCCACAGGTGCCTTCAGTGACCCGCCTGGCGATAAACTGGTAAAAGTGGTAAAAACCCAAAGTCCCAGGCGTGGGGCCCGTTGTCTTCCCCGGCGCAGGCCTGGCCCTGCTTCCCTTCTCCCGCCGCCACTTCGGCCTTTGGGGAACTCGCAATTCCTGTTGACTAAAAGAGCGCCAGCCTCCACCACAAGCCTGTCAAATCAGACGTCCTAATAATCTCTGAACCCGTTTTGGTCGGCACAGGAAGCTCACGCTCCCTTCCTGCCCATGTTTTCCTGAGAGAAAACTATCTTCCCTCCTTTTTTGCATATTTGGCAAATGGTTCCACCTTTCTTTCCGCCCTAGTGGAGTGTGAAGGCGGTGGCGGAGGAGAGGGCCTCCCGGCCTGCCACCCTGGGGCAGCAGGGTCCCTCCCAGGTGGCTGAGTGGAGGGGACTCCACGCGCGGCCCAGGGCCCGAAGACCCCCATCTTCCAAAGGCGGGATTGGTGTGGGAAGGCAGCACCCCCTCGGTGTCGGGGAGGCTCGGGTAGACTGGTGAGTGCCACGCACTTTCTCTCCTCTCTGCTGTGCTTGCATGGACGGGGGCCAGCCGGTGTGGCCTCTCTTCCCGGTGGCCTGCGCCTGGCCCCTGCCCGGCACCCCTCCGCCGCCTGTCTGGGGTGATGGAGAGCATCATTATGCACCATTTGCACGCTCTGCTTTCGGGTTGTCCCGTGCTCCACCTCCTGATGGCTGGTGGCGCGGGGCCACCGCTTAACGAATTGCCTAAAATGGGGCCTAATTAGTGGAAAAGTGCCTTCTTCATATTTTCTCACTCAAGTGTGCAATGATTCATTTTTCTCTGGCAATCAGCTCACTGCTGAAGGAAATCTGACTCTTCCTGCTGTTTTGGCGCCAAAAGTTAGCAGTCCTGGACAGGGTGCAGGGCTTCCCGGCTGGGGATTGCGGGGGGGGGGGGGGGGGCAATGGGATGGGAAGGGGGCACCCAGCAATGTTCCTCCACCCTCCTTCCCTGCCCTTTCTTCTCCCTCTCTTTCCCTCTTCCTTCTTTCTTTTGGAGGGGGGTGCCATGGGAGTCTATGGAAACAACGGAGAAAGAACAGCATAAAGTATTTTTAAGTGCTCTTATGCATCCCGACATAGAGTTTCAGGCTCCATTTTGGAGATCATACTGATACCAGCCCTCTAAAGCGTTTTCTGTTAGTTTGAGACGATTTAAAATGGAACAGTATGGCTCAGAGTCCTTTACTGAAGCTAAGAGTTCCACTAGGGATATTGATTCGTCCGTTTGGGGTGAATTCTTCTCGTGGAATCCGATTTTCACTGGTCAGCCTGGAGCACATGAAAGAGCACGTAAGACACCTCCTTGGCCCCCAGGGGGAAAATGTTTACTTTAGAATCTTTAGGAGAAATGAAAATGAGGAATTGATCTTTTATGAGCTTGCTTGTGAGACACTCTGAAACGTCCTCCCGTGCTTTTAATGCAAGCAGAGAGAGCGAGCCAGCGACCCCCTGGTGCGAGCCCCACTTTCCAGCC